AATTTTTAAATGTGGCTCACTTATTAATGCCAACTTTTACATAACATACTTAAAAACAAGGAAAGGGATCCTCTTCGGATCTCTTCCGCCAAATTCAACAAGTTATGAGATCTGGGCTATTGAAATTTGATCAAACGGCTACAAACAGGGGTCTACTTTAAAAGTTATAATAACTTTAGCTGTTAGATCAAATTTCAATGGCCCGGATCCCTGAACTTAGTGGATTTGGTGGAAGCGATCTAGAGAGGATCCCTTTCCTAAAAACAAAGCTTAGCTGCTGAATAATTAACAACGGTTCTGTTAAAAAGTTAATGTAGCTGCTCCTTGATTTGATACATAATGTTCAATTTAATTTTTTTTTTCTAGAGAAAAGAACTTAATATGTACCAAACAAGGAATTAGCCACATTGATTTTTTTAATAAGAAATATTGTTAATTGTTTAGTAGCCAAACTTCGTTCTTTGAAGATCTTATTGTGACCTAAAAATAGAAGAATGATTAGATGAATTAGATGCACGGTCACTGTGACATTCTAAATCTACTGATACAATATCAAGTGTAGTAAAATAACATGTGACAATATGTTATTAGACGGAAACACTATTTTTCTCTAAATTGCTCTCCAAAAATAGGTGCCCGCGTTCCCTTTTCAAGAAAAGAAATGATGTTATGGAGGAGGAGGACACCTGGTGCTTTCAGTTCTCAGCTCAAATGTTCTCACTATGTTGTCGGTGGCTCCACGAAGACTAAAATGCCATTACCACTAAAATTCACGGTCTAATTCCAAAAGGCCTTTTTAGTAACTTCACTAGTAATTGTCCCACTTTCATTTATATGTTTTGGATTCATTAATGGGGTTAGGAAAATAATGGAGAAAACGATTGAAGAAGCAGATGGCTCTTCCTCATTTGTGAGTGGACAATTTTTTGAACAAACCGCCCAAGAATCCGCTCATGGTAAATTGGGTTGGGTCGGTGTTAAATCATTTTATTTGTTAAATAATGAGACCACATTTACACTCTTGAATGCTTTTGCTACATCAATCAATATTGTATTTTTATTTGTTTGACAAAAAAAAAAAATATTGAACCTTCATCAAAAAAGGCAAATAATTAACTTAGAAAAGGTAAAGTATTTATAAATATCTCATTTTGATTTGTTGTCGATGTAAACCTCAAGAAAATCTCTTTATTCTAGAAATAAGAACTTGACTTCGCTACTGAAAGATCAGCAGCAGCTGCTTACGACCAATTGCGGTTGAACACGTGTTCAAGTTTTTATTTTTTTAATCAAGACGACACTGTCTAACCGTGATTGGTCGTACGCAACTGCTGCTGATCTGTTCAACAGCGAAATTCTATCCCAGAAATAAACCAATATTTTCCTTTTTCTCATTATTTTATTCGTTTGTTGTTTTCACATTTATAAAATAAAATAAAATAAAATAAAGTGAAATAAAAAGGCTGGTATTTGGTATTTGGATGTGATTTGCATGCATATACATCAAAGCCAAGCCAGTGAAACCAAAGAAGCCAAGCCCTGTGAGCCGACTACCGGTTAGGGTTGGTGAAAGACAAGCAGCAGCCGGTAGTACCTACGGCCCAAGTACTAGATATTCTCACCAAACCCTGGATTAATCTTGTCCCTGGATTCGTTCACATCCAACGGCTGATCATTTCGCAACCATTCGATGGGGACCAGGATCCTCTCCTATCTAAGGATAAGGATCTTCATGATCAAGGGATGTGAGCCGTTAAATGAAAATCCAACGGCTATAAACAGAGGATCTCTTTAAAATTATAATAATTATAACCATTGGATTTTCATCCAACGATCCATATCTCTTGTTCATGAGATTCCTCATCCTTAAATTAGAAGAGTATCCTGATCCCGATGGTTAATGACCGACGAAGATAAAACAAATCGAAACGGAGGCGTCCGGTAAACCGGTGAGGATAATTAAATAGTATAAATACGAATAAGAGGCATTTCGGACAATTGCAGTCGTTTGATCGTCTTCCGCTTTCTCTGCGTTAAGGGTGTGGTTCGAAAAGCACAGCCCCCTTCTTCTTCCCTCCAACTTCCTCCACTTCCAGATCCGCGCTTCAGAGGTACCATTTTAGCGCTTTTCTCTGTTGGGTTTTCGTTTTCCTTGTCCTTGCTGTTTGTGGTTTGATTATAATGTGAGCGGGCTGGCGGTTTGTGGGATTTTTAGGGGGACTTTATAAGTTTCGCTTTGGAAAAAATGAAAGATCTGGCAGGTTTAACTCGATGTGATTGTTTTTCGTTAGCATTTTGCCCTTGTGTTTTGTGATTTGACAAGTTAAATTCAAGTGTTTGGGTTTTGTTTCAGTAAACCTTGCAGATCTGATAATTTGTAGTTTTATGGGATTTTCATTGTTCCCTGTGGCTGTAAGTTTATGTATTCTGAAGATTTTTCATAGACTGGTGTGACTTGTAGTACTGTCCTTCTTAGTAGAACCCTGTTAATGGTGGATATTTTAGTGAACTGCCCTTTATTCTTGAAGATGAGCTTGATGTTGTCATTCATTGTATCTGTTTTGGAGTGCAGAATCTGTTGGGCTTTATATCTGATGTGATGTGATGCTTAAATGCTTTAGGGATATGTTTGTTCACTCTGTATTTGCTTTTCTGTGGGAATATTTACTTTTGTTAAATTCGAAAGTACAATTGATGTTGTATTCAGATTTACGACAACTGCGAATTTGGTGATATGCGGGTTTTTAATCTTTATTCTTTCTGTAGTTAGAGCTATGACTTCTCTTTGTTGCTTATATTTATACGGATGTGTCTTGGTATACTTTTATCTTGTGTAGAGAATGGAGACTTTCCTATTCACATCTGAATCCGTGAACGAGGGTCACCCCGACAAGCTGTGCGACCAGATCTCTGATGCAGTGCTAGATGCCTGCCTTGCCCAGGACCCTGATAGCAAGGTTGCCTGTGAGACATGCACCAAAACCAACATGGTCATGGTGTTTGGAGAGATCACTACCAAGGCCAATGTTGACTATGAGAAGATTGTCCGTGACACTTGCCGCGCCATTGGATTTGTTTCTGATGACGTGGGTCTTGATGCTGAAAACTGCAAGGTCCTGGTTAACATTGAGCAGCAGAGCCCAGATATTGCCCAGGGCGTTCATGGTCACTTTACCAAGCGACCTGAGGAGATTGGTGCTGGTGACCAGGGTCACATGTTCGGATATGCCACTGACGAAACCCCTGAATTGATGCCTCTTAGCCATGTGCTTTCCACCAAGCTTGGTGCTCGCCTCACTGAGGTCAGGAAGAATGGTACCTGCCCCTGGTTGAGACCCGACGGCAAGACCCAAGTTACCGTTGAGTACTACAACGAAAACGGAGCTATGGTTCCAGTGCGTGTCCACACCGTCCTTATCTCCACCCAGCATGATGAGACTGTCACAAACGATGAGATTGCCGCTGACCTCAAGGAGCATGTCATTAAGCCTGTTGTACCTGAGAAGTACCTTGATGAGAAGACAATTTTCCACCTTAACCCCTCAGGCCGCTTTGTGATTGGCGGTCCTCATGGTGATGCAGGTCTTACTGGACGCAAGATCATCATTGACACTTACGGTGGATGGGGGGCCCATGGTGGTGGTGCTTTCTCCGGAAAGGACCCTACCAAGGTCGACAGGAGTGGCGCCTACATTGTGAGGCAGGCTGCCAAGAGCATTGTAGCAAATGGGCTGGCTCGCAGGGCCATCGTGCAGGTGTCTTATGCCATTGGTGTGCCAGAGCCCTTGTCGGTTTTCGTTGACACATATGGAACTGGAAAGATCCCTGACAAGGAAATCCTTAAAATTGTGAAGGAGACCTTCGACTTCAGGCCTGGTATGATCACCATCAACCTCGATCTCAAGAGGGGTGGCGGTGGAAGGTTCTTGAAGACAGCTGCCTACGGACACTTTGGAAGAGACGACCCAGATTTCACCTGGGAGGTTGTGAAGCCCCTCAAGTGGGAGAAGCCTCAGTCTTGAGAGATGGATCAAATACCGCCCCTGCTGCCGAAGCTTTTGCATTAATTGGCACCGGATGAATAATTTGCGTGTTTTAATTGCTGCTGTTGTACAACTTAAAAAGCAAATTTCTAATGTTCTAATTTCATACTTTTTATTTTTAAGGTATTTTTCCCCTATTATTTGTTCATCTTTCTATTTCTGTAACATGATATGTTCAACACCGGTGTCTGTATAAAAAGAAAAAGAATTTTGTCGAAATTGTTTTTAGAGAAGAATTAACACATAATATGGTTTCACCGACATGGTATCCTATGTCAATGAAATAAAATTTCTAAATACAAATATTTTCTTTATAATGGAATTGAAATTGGAATGAATATGGAGAGCAGAAAACTCGAACTTCAAGCCAAAGTTTGTACGAAATTTGCCAAAGTTATTTTGTATTTGGATAAAAATTTCTAAATTATATAGCTATTTATTAATTGTCTGCATCTACTAATCATTTTCATTTACCATGTTCCTTGTAAATTTTGAATATATTTTAAGCAAAACTAATGAAAAGTCTTAAAAAACTTTAGTTTTAATGAAAAATGACAAATAAAGGTGTAAATGAATGATACCAGGAAAGGTAAAAATGTTATTTTTCGTTAAAAGTGAACAGTATCAAGAGTGTTTCGTTAAAACTTCTTATATTTTATTCATAACGTATGCATTACTTGCCACATCATATGTTACACTAATATGACAAAAATCAGAGTCTCCCAAAAATTCTTTTTATTTTATATCTACAAGTGATAATAAGGAATTGAACTCGAATTCAAGATTTTGTGTAAAAAATAGACGGTTCTTAATCAACTAAGTTGCAAACTCCTTTTAATGTTTTGACCTTTTAAAGGGTTAAAGCGCTGCGAATGCAAAAAGAGGGTACCAAATACTGATATAAGTTGATCGAAAACAAAAGTAACTGAATAGTGCACATGAGATAACAAGGTGAAAGTACAAAACAACAAGTACAAGTCGATTGAAAATACAAAACAAGAAGTACAGTTCGAAAAATAACTGATTAAATTTTGACGGGGGAGAATATATCTATGCATTATTGATGTAGGTCCTTGCTCGACTAATCAAATATCCCCATGAATCATGATCCGTCATCACAATAGATACTCACAAGTGCCAACAGCTGCCATCCAATCAAATATTACAATTGCATTAGTAATATGAAAGACCGAAACTCAATAATAATTATATAAATAAATAAAAGGAGAATTGGAGCAAAAGCGGCAGGGGGTTGGAGACGTACATGGATTCTGAGAAACAACTAAGCCGGTGCCATTGAAGTGGCAGTCCCAAAAGTGCTTTCCGGTGGCCCTGAAAAACAGATTCATGGCAACAGAAGCATGTGAGACGGCATTCTCTGGGCTGAAACAACCGCCACCTGGCTGAATCGGCCTGCAGTCTATTCCTGCTTGGCCGCAGCTATAATCAATGTTCTGCCGAAGCTTTTCAACATCTGCCGACGGTTTTGCAATGCACCATGTTAATGTTGCAGCTGCCCCACCGTTTCCGATATCCTAAGAAGACGATCAAAATCTTCACTTCCATTTCTTAAATCAAACAAATAAATCTCCTTGGAAAAAAAATTGTATACATCATACCCTTCCTATGATTGCAAACATCTTCATCAATTGCTTCCATATTTTCTGAATAATTTTTTTTCTCAAATTGTGCTACATTTTCTTCTAGATCCAAGCGATTTTAGGGTTTATTGCCTTTTAGATTTTAGGGCTTCAATAAAATTGTTTTTAGATTTTAACCTGAATGATTTTCAAAATCTAATATAAGTCCTTATTTTTAAAACTTACCATGTTTAACACATTTATTATTTATAAACTTACCATTCGAAATTCTTTACCTATCCATAATTAATGTTTTTTTATTTTACGCTCTAATCATTTTAATAGACAAGATTTTATTCAAAACTACGTACAAGCCATCTACCGTATATCATTATTTTCCTTTTTTTGTCCTAGTTTTCTTTCTGGATCCATTGGAAGACCTATGTAATGACAACACATTTGGCAAGCACATGAATAAATTTTCGTTTCTTAGTGTTGACTACAAAAATTACAAAACCTACGTGGCGCGCAGGCCGAGTAACTAATGAGCTAACTACGTCCTTCGGTTGAATGCGGGGCGTGCCAACTCGTCGGCCGAGCTCGGCCGAGGAGTAAAATGTGATGTCGCGTTGGGTGCGCTGTTGACTTCTGTATCTTGCGATTGTGACCGAGGAAGGAACGCTCTCGGCCTCTGGGTTCTATAGCCTGAAGACAAGGCTACTAATTCTACGGAGTTCACAAGTCGTCGGACCCTGATTCGGTCACTGTGATTATATTCGTAAGAGTATAAGCACGCCGAATCGAGACCAAACTATATGGGCACAAGTACTCGAATGTGATGTATGTCTTAATGGTAAACGTAGTTCGGCCGTCAGAATGCCGAACCCTGAAGCTTACTTGCGAGTATCCAATCATAAAACCACTCGGCGTCCAATGCGCCGAGCAATGCAATTCGTAACACCCAACTATGCCGAAAAGGCTTAGTAGGATGACCTCTACTAACAAGAGTTCGAAAACCCTTCTCGGCCGAGACTTGGATAGATAATCGGTCGACCTCGACGCAGTGCTGTTTATCCAAACTGAAGGTGCTCCTCGGTCGGCTGATTCTGCGGCAGCAGTGCTGTTTATCCAAACTGAAGATGCTCGCCGGGTGCCTCCACAGTGCTGTTTATCCAAACTGAAGATGTGTTAGCAGGAAAGGAAAAGGAAAAAATCTCAAGATGTTTGAGAGGTTTTGCGCAGGGCAATTGTGTGCTGATTGTGAAGGGTCTTTTCTATTGCGTAATTTCTTGTATTTATAGCACCTCGCTCCTTGAATCCCATTCTGATTTGGATTGGGAGTCCTTGTCCCATCTCACCTTTAACTCGAACAATCCTAGTCCTACTGGGATTCTGAATTCTCCTCCTTTTGAAGCTTTATCCCTTGCCGGTCGAGAATCCTGGTCGCACCAGGATTTCCTCGACCTTTCCTCATTCATCTGGACTACTTAAGATAGGATCTGGCCGACCCTGCCAGCTGGTCCGGGTTTCATTATTTGGCCCATAGCATGTGTCATTACCTTGGGCCGAGCACATCTTGCTGCTCGGCCCAATCATAATATTTTGGGCCCAAACATTGCCCCCTCGCTTCTGAGGTCGCCGACTGTTAACTCTTGGTCGAGCCTCGGCCTTGAAGAAGCGAAAACATTTATTGCTTTTTTGGACCTTACTTCATTAATGACCATTATTCCTGCATATTTATGAGACATGATTGCACCTTCCTCGTTGCCCCCAACGCGTGGCCACGTGTCAATCTTCCGCCGCTCTTAAAAGCTTCAATCATGGGCCTCGAAACCGTGCACTAATTGAACCGTCTTATCCTTATTAATACATTGAACCTGTCGCCGCACGCCATCGTGCGTCCTGGATTTTCGACTCCTCGATCCCATTTTCGCAGGTTCCCAAAATATCCGAAATGATTGCAGGCTTTCCCGGTTACATTTCCCCCTAATTTGAACTAACGCTTTTCGAATTCCAATCCCTTTCGAAATTCAGGTGTTTGATCTTCAATCTGAAAAGCCTATAAATACCCACACTTTACTCTATTCGTATCTTACGCTTTCAGAAATCCCAAACTCTCAAATTTTAATCATCCTTGCTCGTTCAGACCAAACCCTCTAGTTTTCCTTTCTGCAATCTTTCCAGTTCTTCCAGATTACTCTAATGGCTTCCTTTATCGCGAAACTTTCCGAGGAGATCAACAAGTGCAAAGACTTCATTGATCGGAGCACCGTCAAGACGCTGCGATTTGAAGAGGACATGGCCACCACCCACCAGATTCTGGGTCCCCTCTTCAGAGACGCAGTGCCGTCGTCCGTTACTGACCTGCTCAAGGAGCAGTGTTTAACACCCCTGCTGCAGGGGTTCGACTGGTCAAAGTGGACTCTGGCGCGGCCTCAGGGAGCCTGGCCCTCGACCACCACGGCTTGGGCTGCCTGGGTCAACCGGATGAGCGCATTCTTCTCCAAGGAGTGGAAGGCTCTTGGCATCTATGATGCCATTATGCTGTCAACCATGGAGATTGCCATGGATAAGGAGCTGCTCCTGGCGGCCCTGAGTCTATGGTGTTCGGCCACCAACACCATGGTCTTGCCTTTCGGCCCTCTCGGCCCCACAATCCTCGACGTCTCGGCCATCCTTGGGACTTCCCCGACCGGCCTTCCCATTGACGCCGCCCTTTCTGGATACCCTTCTCCTCTCGACCTGAAGGCGCTATTCGACGAAAGGGTCGTCGAAACACTGAGCCGGGGTGATCGGGAGCCCTCAAGGGAAGAAGTTCAAAAACTTCACAAGAACTTCTTCAACTACAACACCCTCATCCTGCATTTCGCCGGTCGAGGCGAGGAGGGCCTGAGGAAGGGAGAGCACGAGGCCTTCCTCTTCTACTGGTACAACAAATTCATCTGTTGTACCAGGTCGAACAAGTGCCTGGCGGAGAACATGCCGGTGGCCCAGGCACTGGCCAATGGTCGCTTGCTGGCGCTCAGTCCAGCCATACTCGCCAACCTCTACCGTTGCCTGGCTGAGGCGACCATTGGCAAGATTGACCCGCACCAGAACGGACCCCTCTGGGTGTTCCAACTCTGGTTGCAGGTCTACTTTTCCACCCTTCGACCGGAGGTTCCTGCCTTCGATCGACGGAACGGCCGCCCTTGGCCTTCAACTGGCCTCTCGACCGGCGCCTCCTCACCGAGCCGACGAGGTCTTCAAACACTTCCTCAGCCTCGACGTTATCTCGGATGACGAGTTCCTGGTGTGCCGGCGCCAGGAGTACCCTTCCTCGCTCAGGCTTCCTTCGGCAACGTGGGCCGCGTCCGAGGATGCGGACATTCGTCAGCGATGGGGGTCGTTCGTTGTGGCTCGTGACCTTCCACTGGGTTGCGATGCCCGCCGAGCGGGCTGGGAGGTCTACCACCCCAATTTTGTCGCCCGGCAGCTCGGCTATCTCCAGGGCAGCCCAGTCCCCCTGCTCGCTTCTCGGTCACTCCTGAGTCGGGGACGTCTTACCGGCTCATCTGAGAGGGAGTGCAAGACGTCCGACCAGGAGTTCCAAGAGAAGTGCAAGAAGTTCCGGATTCGGCCGGCGGTTCCTGAATCTTTGGGAACCGACACCTTCGGGGACTGGTGGGAGGAGTACACTGGCGACTTCTTCGGCGCCCCGGTCGAAGATCTGGTGGAGAAGATCTTCGGCGACCGTCCTCGGTCGACGTCCTCGGCTCAACCTAAGGAGCCGGCCCAAGGTAGTTTTTCCGCCTTTCTTTTTCTTTTTTGTAACTTGATCCTTGTTACTAATCACCTTGCCCTTCAGGGAGTCGTGTGCCAAGGAAGGTAGAGGTGGTCGCCGCGGTGGCGAAGGCGAAGAAGGTGCAGAAGCCCATCGCCACCGAGCGGGCAGTTCCGGCCAAACGCCCCCACCGAGCGGCCGAGCCGGAGGTTGATGCCCCTCGCCCTTCTAAACGCGTCAAGAAATTGGCGAAGAAGGGCGACCGGGAAATTCATGTCGTCCCTAGTGATACTACAGGGACGGCTGCTCCTGCCGGCTCTCCTCCTTTGCCGGATGCCCCAACTCCACCAGTCGTCTCTTCTCCTGAGGCCACGGCCGCCCCCATCGGCGCACCAGCTTCAGCCTCGGAGCCGGTCGTGGCGCCTGCCGCGGGGAAGTCGGCAGCACCTGTCGAGGGACCCTCTTCTCCAACGGTCGTTCTGGAGGTATGATTCTACTTCTCCCCTCGTTCCTTTAGGTTTTTGGTCATGACACAAGTTTCTTTTTGTTCAGGATGTCGAGAGCGAGAGCGAAGAGGTCCCCTTGGCACGCCGTCGCCGACCAGTCAACTCTCCTCCCGTTCATCCTCCTCCGGTTGTGGAGGCGACTACTCGACCGACTCCTCCTGCGGCGGATCGCGGCAAGAGACCCATGGCCGACCCTGAGGCCACGGCCGAGTCGCCGATCCACCCGCAGGATGAAGACCTCCCCATTCCTCCGCAGGAAGTCTCCTCGGCCTATGTAAGTCTTCACTTTTTGTATTAATTTTCCCATGACATGTTCTTAAAAGACTATTAAATGTCAGGTGCCCGAACAGTCATTTCACCGACAATTTTATGCGCCGACGGGCGTTGTCTATATTTCTTGGCCACCGTCGTGGCCATCAAATGTAGATGACCTCCATCGGCCGCGTGAATTGAGAAGCGGTCTGAGGTACTGGGCTCGGCCATTAAGTTCCCTGGGTTCGAGCAATGACCCAGAGGGCATGGCCGAAGTCTCCTCTCGGCAGGTCTAAAACAATCCTCTTTCTTTTGATGTACTATACCACGATGTTTTTACTATTCTTCACAAAAATTTCCTCTTATGTGCAGCCATCGTGGGAGTTGGAGCTTGACGCTCTACTCCAGAGCACGACCGGTGAGGCCGGCTCCTC